GCATTGAACAAGAGTGAATGGTTTGTCCACGTTTTAATTTTTTTTTCATCTCTGTTGTTGTAATGTATTGGGAAGCCAGAATGCGCATCCATCAACAGAAGCGTACATTAGCCGAACCCTGTTTGATTTACGTGTTATTTATTGCAAACCATATTACAGATGCGTTGTCAGATTTAAGTTGAACCGCGGTCCTAGCGCGTGCCGAACCGTGTGTGGAGAACCGTATGGTTCGATTTTTTCCCGCGAACCGTTCCACCCCTAATATATATATATGATAGTTAATTAATTATTATTACAAAGTTTTCTGTAAAAGCACAAATTGACTTTTTTTTTTTTGTCCAGTGCAGTTTGAATGATGTTTTCTAGACACATACAACCCCATTTACAGGAAACAGATGGGAAAAACCAGGTCTAAACAGCACCTGAGAATCAGAGTGTTTTACAATCTATGTGTGAAACTCTTGTGCTGGGATGTCTGGTACCTTCTGATGACTTGGAGATTCCAGCAGATGCTGCTTTGATTTGTGTTCCTTCTCTGTGATCTCCCTCATTTTCAGGTTCACCTGCAATACAAAGAAGGGATTGTTATAATGAACATCTGAGGTTTATTTCATAAGTCTCCACGCTAGCATGAACAGACATGCTCTGTCCAAGCACTGAAAGTCCCCAACAGGACTAGACAAATGCAGGTAAGCTATTACATTTACATTTATTCATTTAGCAGATGCTTTTATCCAAAGCAACTTACAAATGAGGAAAATAGAAGCAATCAAAACCAAGAAAAGGGCAATAATATGTAAGTGCTGTGACAAGTCTCGGTTAGCCTAATTCAGTACACGTAGAAAGTTTTTTTTTTTTTTATAAATAAAGAAAACAAGAAGATAGAATAGAAGAATAAATTAAGAATACTAGAAGTATATAGTACTTAATAAAAATAGAATAGAGAGTGCAAGTGTTAGAGGACTGAATGTTTTTTTTGTTTTTTTTATTAGAATAGAGAGTGCTAGAGTTAGAGGGTCAAATGAAGATGTACATATATACTATTAGTACATCATGTAACACACAGTGTTTATTCAAACATAACCCTTACCATTTAACTGTTCAAAAGCAAGTTAGGCTGTTATGATTACTTCTGATACACCAAGGACAGTTCCAATTAGGGATGCACGATATTGGATTTTTGCCGATATCCGATATGCAGATATTTTCAACTCATTTTGGCCGATAGCTGATGTCGATACCGATATATTTCCTTTTGTTTGGAAACAACACCAAGTCTCTCCTGTGCAGAGATTATAAACAAATT